AAATCATCATTTTTGAAGAACAAGTGATCAAGCAATTTAGTAATGTTAAAATATTTATATATTTTATCCACAAAGGTTGAAAGAATTATACTTATGACAAAATAAATAAATATGAATAATATAATTTTTAACAAGAAAAATAATCATGCCAAGCTCTTGGAGCTTGTTTCAACCCATATAGAAATATTTTACACCCAGTAAACATGATATAAAAGAATACCAATAAAATATTAATAAATCCGGGAGGGTTGTTCAAACATAAACCTCTTCTACAAATTCAAAACAATTTTTTGAGAAACTAGATAAATTTTAAAAAAGAATCATATAACCAAAAATATTTTCTTTTATACGTTTAAAAAGAATCATCAAAACTTTGTTTAAAAAAAAATCCAAACAAAAAAATCATCTTTTAAAGAACATGAAAAACAAAAACTCTAAAAGTTTATTTTTTAAAATCAAAAACATTTTGGTACCCAAGCACCAATGGTACCGAAGAGTTTAAGGACATGACCCATATCAATAAAGTCCAAAGATCTAGGATTATGGTCCCATTTGGGCGCATTTAGTGCACGTGATCGGTCATTAGCAATAATTTCTCAAATGACCATTTCTATTACAATATGTGCAATAAAATGAGTGCATTTGTTTTTGTTGACCGTTTGGTTGTGCACGAGAAACATTTACACATAAAAATGGCCTTTTTAAATCAAAATAATTTTTGGCCAAATGACCAAATCTGCCACAATAATCACATTTATACACATTTACATGCTTATAATGAACATTGTGTGTATGTGTATGTGTATATATACATGATGATGAAACTTGATGAGATGCACAAGGAGCAATAATATTAGCATTAGTAGTTTGTTGTGCATCATAGTAAAATTTAGCAATATGGCCTTTACGGTCGCAAATGGAACACTTATAAATTTTGTCATACATGTGCACATAGTGAGTGTTAGATTTAGAAGAATTTACATGTGACTTTGTACATAAGTTCATAAGTTTCTTATTGTTATCAATGCATTTATTTAGGGTTGAATTTAAAGAAGATATGTAGTTTTTTATAAGATCCAACTCATCATTAGGCACATTGATATTAGACGTAGAGAAAATATGATTATTTTTAAAAGACTTTAGTTCATCTCTAATGGCTACTACTTCTAGTATGGCATCAATTTTATCATTAGATAAGCTAGCTATTTTTGAGGTTAAATTTTTATTTTTCAAATTCAATTTATCATTATTTTATTTAAGAATCATATTTTCTTTAACAATGATATCTAATTTGGATGCTAACATATCATGATCGGATTTTAACTCTATATGCTTGCCTTTTAAATTTACGAAGTTATGATGCAATTTGTTATAAGTACACATTAATTTATCACAAGTACAAGCGAGATTATCTTTAGATAAATCATTATCGGAGTTTGACTCGCATACCTCATTAGGGCTATCGTCTAGTGGCCGTGTGCATGATGATGATGCTCCATTCTCACTTGAAGACTCCATCGAAATGTGTTAGAGTTTCTCCAAGTTATCATGATGTGCTTCTATATATTTCCACATAGTGTAAGCACTATCAAGATGAGCAAGTTTGTTAGAAATTGATGAATCAAAAACATTTAGTAGAAATTCTAACAATAACTTGTTCGTTATAAACATATTTTTATCATCTTTGCTCCACTTGATCTCTCCAATGTGGGCACAATATAAGCATAGTCAAATAACTTCCCATATATCGATATTTTTAGATCTAACAAATAGTTTAAATCTAAAACACCATTGAGCATAAGGAAAATCATTGAATTGAGGAGCAACATTAATGTCATAGCCTAAACTAGGTGCACCATGCATGTCTATAATTATGAATGCAAGCAACAATAAATCACAAAACTAGATTATCAATATATAAAAAATTTGGATCTTTGACTCTAGGCGGTTAAGCCACAAATCAAGAGCACCAAGCTCTGATACTAAATAAAATAACCCTAGAGGAGGGTGAATATGATATTTGCTAATCTAATCCGATATTAATGCTAAATTAAAACTTATTAACTAATATCCTAGCAAAGTGATATATAATGAGATATGTGCAAGAATATACAGTAAAATAATAGGTGATATAAATATGAAACAATGGAGATATAGCAATATGATGAACAATAAGCACAAAAGAAATATGCCAAAGCAATCACAAACACAAAGAAATGATCACGGAGTTCGGTCGACCCACGACCTACGTCTCCGCTCCTCACCCTCGAGAAGAATCTCCACTATCAACACAAAAAGCTACACAATTAGTTTTTAACGCTCATTAATAAACGTTTACAACTCATACACTTGCAATCACACAATACACTCTCTAAGTATTAGCCTCTCACGTGTCACCTTCCTCAAGTGCTCGGATTTAGCATTTCTCCCTAGGCTTTATAACCGACACCACTCCTCTTAGAATTAATCATATCTCTCACCAACCACTCCTCTCGGCGTCCTTGTGTATTATAATGTATTCTCAACAATTAGGCATAAGTACAAAGTGTTCTGTTCTCTAACAAGATGAGAACTAAGTAAAGCTCACTCAATCACACCCACAACCCAAATTACACAATGTATGAAAATACTCAAGCTCAATGGTTATGTGTATATGATAAATAACAATGAAACTAAACTCAAATTGATCTAGCAAATAAATGAAACAATTAAAGTATGAACAAACTAGATAAAAAGGAGTTTAGAAAACTTCTCAAGCAAAGAGATGTAAAATGTTGAGGATGAGCTTCCTCAATGTTGAAAATCAAATCCTTCTCTTTGTGAAACAATCTTCATATAAACAAACTTTAAAACACATTTAAAAAACTTAAACAAACTTGAAAACACATTTAAAAAACTTAAACAAACTTGTAAACTTTTTTTGAACACTTCTTAGATTTACTAAAATGTTGAGACTGAAAGGGATATTTATAGGTTCACAATACAAACCTAAAAACCAAGAAAAAACAAGCAAAAAAAAACAAAACAAAAAGCTCAAAAATCACACAGGCTGGAAAACTAGACGTTATAGTGCCATCAGTCGACTGATACTGTTCATCAGTCAATTGATACTGTTTATCAGTCGACTGATACTTCATCAGTCGATTGATGAGCTAACCTTTACAAGATGCTCATTCGTCATCGGTCGACTGATAAACTCATCAGTCGACTGATAACCTGCATTAGTTGACTGATAGTTCATCAGTTGACTGAGCAGAAACTTTTTGCTTTTCTAGCAACTTTTATCGGTCGACTGATATTGTTCATCAGTCGACTGATAACGTGCACATGACATATACTGAATAGTAAATTTGAACTTTGAACCCCTTTAAAATGTAGTAAATAAATTCTAAAAATTATAAAACTTTGGGAAATGGTTATAAACATGAAAAAAAACATGTTACAAATTTTTTTTAAATTACACTTCCTATTTATAAAAACTCATCATTTTGTAAAATTGGTCAAAATACGAAATCTCAAAAACACATGATTTTGACAAAATAATTTTAAACAAGTTTGAAACTTCTCTAAAGTAGATTAATAGACTTTAAAAAGATATAAAATAGTATAATCAAGTCTTTAATCCGTAAACATATTATTTTGCAAACTTATAAAAATATAAAACGATAAACATGATTTCATTGAATTGAAATTATTAAAGATTAATTTTAATGAAATCATTTTAAACACATATAAACATGAAATAAATATGTGTGTATATAGCTATATCCATTTGTTTTATATTTATGTGGCTAAAGTTGAAAGCAATAAAACGTAAACTATGTGTGTGTATAATTTGAGCTCTAAGTATAAACACACAAAGTATAAACATACCAAACAAATTGATATACTCAAGCTAAATGATCTTATGACGCTTGATCTTAGGCTTTCCTCCTCTTTGTAGTATGGATGAAGCAATAGTGAAAAGCAATAGTGAATATTAAACTTGAATTGCATCGTGCTCCATTCTAAATTCCTTCCATCCTCTAATGAATATGATCGTGTAGGCGCAATCCAACCAACCTCCAACAGAGGATCTTTGTGTAGAATACTTAACAATCAAATGCTAGGCTTAATGCTAAAATTCTTCTGTCCCCTTAGCCGTTTGAGGCGTCGGGTCAAGTTAACTATAACTGTTAAGTAGTAGTTAGGTGGGGTTATTTCGTTAAATATTAACAACCTAGCCCAACTAGAATGGTCACCTGTATGCGCGACAAGATAGGGTCCTAATAACGACTCATCGTTTGGTAAGTCACTGCTCGAGGGCCGATGGAGCACATCGCCTGGTAGGTCGCCATCAGCGAACATCGTCATTTGCGAGAATGATGGTGTTAGGATAATCAAATCGTTCAGGGGCATAGGAATGTAACAATTGATCGATATAGTGGCACATCGCATGGTAGGTCACTACCCATCGATTGTTCTAAGGACACTAGAACGCACAGAAAGGATCATGTCGTTCAGGGACGTAAGAGTGTGATGACTGATCAGACAATGCGATTTATAGGAATGAAAGTGTTAGCTATCAGAGGTGATCGTTAACCTAATAGGATCATCGTGATCAGAGTGACTTTGAGGACTTACCATCTTATTGAAGAGGATTGATAAGTTAATTTTGTCAGAGGTGGTTGTTAACGTGACAGTGGGAGTTTGTTGCGATTTTGAGCAACTTTGTATGCTCACCATCCTATTAGAGAGGATTGGTAAGTTGATTTGTCAAAGGTGATTGTTAATGTGACAGTGGGAGTTTGAGGTGATCTTGGCTGTTCAAAGGTTCGATAGCTCAATTTGGTGGACCTCTCGTTCGTGGAATGAATCGAGAGGGGATTTTGGCCTTTGGTCTTAGCTGTAGGAAGGTTTGACCAAAATAAAAGTATAGGGAGTAGTTTAGCCTCGTATACCAGTGGGAGGAAAGGGGACATTGAAGGAGGACTAAGGGTAGTACTTTTTCAGAAATTTACCATTGATAGGCATCATGAACTTATCGCCATTTGGTTTGACGAGGCGATATGCTCCATTCAAATAGATTGTCTCTATCATGAGTGGTCCTTCCCATTTAGGTTGAAACTTGCCCTTCTTCTTAGAGTTGAGAATCATCGGTCGTCGAATAGCGATGACCAGCTCTCCTTCCTTGAAGGATCGGTATTTGACTTTCTTATCGAAAGCCTTGGTTATTCGGGCTTGGTAGAACTTAATGTGCTGCTGAGCTTCAAGCCGCTTCTCATATAGCGCTTCAAGTTTTGCAAGATGCTGTTGATGACTATCCTCAGGCGTCATTCCTACTGTGAGGGTAATGCGGAGGGATGGAATATGAATCTCCAGAGGTAGTACGGCCTCGTAGCCGTACACCAATGAGTAAGGCGTGGTGCCGGTCGGTGTGTGAACTGTCGTGTGATACACCCATAAACTTTCGCCAAGCTTCTCGTTCCAATCGCGCTTGCTATTGGAGGTCAGCTTGGTCAGGATCTTGATAATCGTCTTATTGAAGGCCTCGGCTAAATCATTTGCTGAGGGATTATAAGCCATGGAGGAAAGGTTATGTATCCTGAACTTATCACAAAACCGAGTGAATGCATGACTGACAAATTGTGTGCTGTTGTCATGAATGATACGTCTAGGAACATCGTATCAGTATATGATGTGATGTTTGATGAATCTGATCACATTATTAGTCTCGACTTCTCTTAAGGAAACAACTTCGGCCTATTTGGAGAAGTAGTCGGTGATCGTAAAGATGAAGCGATGACCTCTTGCTGATGACGGAGATATTGGTCCGACGATATCCATCCCCCATGTTTCGAATGGCCATGAAGATGCTGTCAGATGAAGGTCTTTAGGCGGTCGGTGTATGTAATTAGCATGTATTTGACACGCGTGGCAACGTTTGGCCTAAGCGACTACATTGCCAACCATCCCGGGCTAATAGTAGCTAATCCTCCGCAGGCGATTCCAGAGCTTATGTCCGATTTGGTAAGCTCCACAAGTACCATCGTTGGCTTCATGTAGAGTCTCCTGCGCTTCTGTCGTCGAGAGATATTAAAAAATCATGTCGTCATACGACCTACGATACAATGCCTTTTTGGTTGAGTCGTAGTAGAATCCTGATGCGCGCCTGCAAACAGACTCTTGCTCCTTGATGTCTTTAGGCAGTATACCGTATAAAACGTAGTCGATGATCGGGAAATGTCAATCTCTCGGGTCAAGTTGATCCGGGACCTGGTGAGTAGTGTTTACTTCCAGAGCGTCTTCTGGCCAAAATAGTCACCAGCTTATGATCATGACACGTTGAGTCATCCCTAGCGGCTAGGCCAGGTTAGCTGCTAATGATGCCAGAGCATCTACGTGCGTATTCTTAGAACGAAGCATATGCTCAATGCGAAAGCTTTCAAATGATTCAGCTAGCTTGATAGCTGCTTTGTGACACATGATCAAGTCATCATTTCTGACCTCGTATTCCCCCGTCATCTGTTTTACGATGAGCTGAGAGTCACCGTAAGCCTCGAGATGCTTTATCTCTAATTCTTTAGCCAATTTGAGTCTAATGAGCAGCACATTATACTCGCCCATGTTGTTGGTGCACAGCTCTGTTAAAAAAAAGGCTTGGGGGTAATACGTGGTTTTGTGGGGAAATCAAGACCACCCTCACTCTTGCAATGATAGTCACGCTCATTCCAACATGAGATGCATCGTCGAAGAACAACTGACAAACCTCCCCTGGAGAGGTTGTGTTGACTTCTGGGGTCTCATTCGGCAGTTCTTCAAATAAGTCAGTCTTCATCTCTAGTGGATGACTGGCCATGAGATCGTAGATGGCTTGTTCTTTGATTAACTTCTGCGGCATGAAGTGGATATCATATTAAGATAGCAGGAGCGCCCATCTGACCATGCGCTAATTCAAGGCTCTGGGTTGTGTCATGAAGACCTAGATGAGGTTCATCCGGGAAATGATTTTGATGGTTTGGCTAACCAGGTAATGTCACATCTTTTGGATGGCAAACACCAAGACTAGGCATTTCTTTTCGATCATAGGGTACCATTTCTCGGCTCCCTGCGAGTCCTACTCAAGTAATAGATACCTTTCTTGTGGCCAACATCGTCGTTTTGTGCCAGAAGAGCACCGAGAGAATGCTACATAGCCTGCACATAGATGAGGAATGGTTTCCCTGAGACTGGAGCTGCCAAGGTAGGTGGGTTCAAGAGATAAGCTTTGATTTCCTCAAACGCTTGTTGGCAGGGCTCGTCCCATACGAAGGAGATGCCTTTCTTCATTATCTTGGAGAAGGGTTGGCATTTCCTGAAAGATTTGAGATGAACCTTCGGATGTAAGCAGATCATCCCCGGAGTCCTCTTAATTCTTTGAGATTCTGGGGAGGCTGAAGCTCTTAGATAGCTTGCACTTTATCAGGGTTGATACAGATTCCCTTTGTCGTGATGACAAACCTGAGGAATTTACCACCGGACATCCCTAAGAATGATTTCATAGGATTCATCTTCAGTTGATGAGATCACATGAGTTCGAACATCACTCTCAGGTCTTGGAGGTGGTTGTCTTTGCTGTGACTTTTATGACCAAGTCATCTACGTAGCACTCTACTATCTTTCGTAGATGGTCTCGGAATATTATGCTCATGGCGTGTTGATAGGTTACGCCGGTATTTTTGAGTCCGAAAGGCATAACTGTGTAGCAGTACACCCCCACCAGAGTTCGGAATGAGGTGTGCTTCTCATCATCAGGGTACACCTTGATCTGATTATACCCCGAGAATCCATCCATAAAGAACATTCTTTCAAACTCACACATGTTGTCGATGATGACATCTGTGATGGGTAGAGGAAACTCGTCCTTTGGAAAGACATCGTTGAGGTCCCATAAGTCAATGCAGATACGGATCTTGTCGTTCTTCTTCAAGACCAGATAATGTTGCCTACCCAATCGGGGTGTTGTTCCTTTCTGATGAACCCGGACTCGATCATCTTCTTCACTTTGGCTTCGATTGCCTCCATGCTTTGTGAACAAAACCATTTTTACTATTGTTTGATGGGGTTTGGTGTCCGAGCCAATGTTGAGGCGATGCATGGTGATCTGAGGATCAATGCCGGGCATGTCTCCATAATTCCATGTGAAAACGTCAATATATTCTCGTATGTGGGATATAAGGTCCTCCTTCTCCTGGGAAGGTAAGCTTTCACTGATGAATATGGGCTTGGGATTAGCCTCATCGCCCATGTTTATCTAGAGGATTTTATTCTTAGCGGGCGGTTCATGCTGTTCGAAGCGACCACTCCATTGAGCACTGACATGGCGGTCCCATGCTTCGTCATAAAATAGGATTTGCTCATCCTCCGTGACTTCAGTAGGATCAGTCGTCATCATGTTGACTGCAAGGTTCTTGAATAAGTCTCCCACGCTGACGTCTGAGTCCCATGCCGAGGATGTTAATGATCGATCATCAAAACATGCGTCATCAGAGTCCTCACTGAAGTCGTAGCATAACTCTGATGAAGAGGAAGTGTAACCCAAGCCTCTCCGAGTTTTACTGAAGTAGTTTAGGGGTCTTTGTTTAGGCACGTAGGCGGGTCAAATAATGTCTTCCGCCATTTGCCGTAGTTTAGGTCTTCTTGATGAGTGAAGTCATAGCCCATGTCCTCCATCATGCGTTTTGCTATTTGATTGTATTACAAAGATTGAGGTACGGGCTCCTCTTCTTCTGATTCATCCCACATTGTGTGTAAGGGGTGGTCTATCCTCTCGAAGTTAATATCCTTCTGATAATTATTCTGGGCGGGCACGATAAATATAGGCTGTGAGGACTTGATCGTTTGCCCTTTTGTGACATACGATGAGTATACAAGCAAGCGTAAGGAGGAGTCATCATACAACCCTGTAATTGAATCGTCGGGCTTGTCATCATCGGACTTCAGATGAGATGACAAGTAAGACAAGTTGAAATTTTCATTCAGGATAATCACGTCTGCTTGGTCAGCATCAATTACATCATGGCCTTCATAGCCGCTTACAATTGGTTCAAAGTCATCCAAAATAAGGTCATCGCCATACTCGGATTCCCTATCCGCCTCATTACTATTTTCGAGTTCCTCGGCCGGTGGCTTGTCGAGGTCCTGGTAGAGCAGGGAATCTGTGAAGTAATTATCAACTCCCTTGAAGGGTTGTTTGTCGGCAAACACCGTCTTCACTTGATCATAGTCGCTCACATACTTTAAGCACTGATGCAACATGGATGGGACTATGCGGTTGTTGTTGATCCATGGCTGTCCCAACATTATGTTATAGGAAGGCTCAGCGTCGATGACATAGCAGGTCACCTCCATCTTCATATCGCCCAAACGGCACTTGAGATGAATATTGCTGAGCGGCTGGGTTCCAGTAGTGTTCAAGCTAAAGATGGTGGTAGTTATCATGGATAGATGTTTCTGAGGTACCCCTAAGTGCTTGATGAGCTTCAGGGGGACAATGCTTAGTGCAGATCCCGGGTCGACTTGGATTCTGCCCACCTTGGAAGAACCGATGTATCCCGTGAAGTACAGGGGTCGGTCGTGAGACGTGCTTTTGATTAACATGTTATCAGTGGTGAAGGTGATGCAAGGGACTTTCCATTCAACCACTTGGCAGCATTATGGACACCCCTTTCAGCATCTTCTTCTATCTCGGGTAAGAAGTGTTTGGCGAAAGCTTCTGAGTTGGCTAGCGCCTCTTATAGAGCTTCCCGGGTAGATCTGGACAACCGCAGAAGCTCATACAAGGTAATCCGAGCCGGAATGTTCTTTAGCTGCGTGAGCATGTCGAACCGGAAGGGTTGACTGCTCGAACTTGGCCTATCGGGGTTCGGGTAGGCTGCTGCCAGCGGCCCCGAAGAGGGTCCTACCGGATCTTCTACCCTTGGAGGGTAGTTCTTAGTAATCTCCCTGCCCGCTCTAGTGGCCAACACGTCTGTCTCATCGTAAGAGCTGGTGAGGGTGGTCATCTCTGCTTTGTCCTTATCCGAAATTACGTAAATGACATTATAGGGTTTGCCTTTGGGTTTCTTTGAGGGTTTTGAAGTCCACTGCTCATCACTGAGGAGGTCTGGATGGACCCACATCATTTTACCTGATGGTAAGACTTGTGATACTAGACCTTTCTATCGTTGATTATGAGGATCGGTGTTAGTGATCTTCAGTACTACCTTGGGGATAGGAACCAACCCCGCTAGCGCATAAACTTTTGGGAGATTCGTCCTGAAACTCAGGGTGATCATGTTTGTAGTCACCTTCTTTTGCACCTTTTTCTTTTTTATGACTCCCGCGTCGTAGAGGGCCTGGAGCTTATCCTTGAGGATATAGCACTTGGAGGTATGATGGTTGAGGAACCTGTGGTATGCACAATAACTTGGGTCATAGGTCTTGTTCACTTCTTTAAGCTTGGTGACTTTCGACAGTTTGATTCTGTTGTCCTTGAGAAGAGTGTCAAAGGTAGCTACCACCTGATCTTCTCTAAAATCGTATTGCCTCAGAGGGCGATGTTCAAA